ATTCGGTACTTTGAATTTAATCTGTTAAACTCATGAATCCGGTGTAAGGGTATCCGTTATATCCATAGTTGACAGTAGTATTTTTAAATATAATTTATTATATAACATATATATTATATTTATATAATAGACTTGACTAATTTGACCAGTTTGATCATTTGACCAATTTGACCAGACCAATTTAACTAGCAAATTTTTGTTTAACCATTGATTTACCCAACATTGATAACAGTATAAACCAAGGTAAAATTATTACTCTTTTATTTTGAAGAATATATTATGATCCTCTTATAACTTATATTCACTAACTATTTACTGGATATACTATTAAAACATCTTAAATTACAAATTTTAAAGAAAAACTTGTAACAAACTTTAGTCTCACTGTTCTGTTTTTGTCTATATAGATAATACTCTATGGATTGCATCTTCACAAACAGAATTATTTTATATTAATTTTATTGCAGAATCTTTTTATAAGATGCCAATATCTAAATTAATTTTTTAAATCTCTACTTACTACTAATAATCTGTTCCAACTATCATTCTATCACTTTTAACAACTATATTCTTTTTCTACATTCACACTATGAACTTTTTAAATTTCTTGGCTGCTAGGTTACATTCAATAACAAGTATTATAAAAAACACAACCAATTGCTAATAAATCTCTTTATTTATACAAATTGCAGAATCTAAGTATATTATAAATACACAAGCTTATTATATTATTAATACTGTTATTATATTTATAATTGAATATCGTCTTCAGAACTTGGTTTTTAATCAAAACATTTGCAAGAAAATACTTACTCATCATATTGGTCTTGTTAAATACAAAGCCAAACTTAGTTGTACTATTTCTACTATTACAATTTTATATCTACAACTATAATATCTAAATATTCAACTTCAATATCATGTCTCGAATTATATTAAACAACTTGCAATATAGATTTTTTGAAAACTTGTTTTCATATTTAACTTCAACAGCTCTAAAATAATTTTTAGTTTTTTATCAATATACTACAATACAAAAACTCTATAATTAATAAATCTAATAAACAAGCTATAAGGTTTAAAATTATCTAACTGTTTAATATCTTGAATTTTTTATTGCCTCTAATATTTTACAACAGATTCTACATACTATTTTTACTAACTCAGTATTCTTAGAATTTTTTTTTTGTTTTTAAGATGACTTTTTTGCTACACTGCTCTTTATTTGAATATTAGTAGTATTTTTAACTATCAGAACATTCTGATGGCTGTACATATTTGTAGAGTACAACTAGCCATATCTGCGCCTTTTGAGTGCCTATTTAAGTATCTATCTATAACTAGGTTCTATACTAGATACTGTATTTGCATTCTAATTAAGAAGGTACCCATTTAAATCCTCTGCACCTATATACCAACCTTTTTATATTCAAGTGATAATATTTAGTACTACCTTATTTTCACATGCTAGCTTAAGGCTTTAAAGTAGTTTTTACCATTTTAGGGAGTCCTTTGACCTCAAGGTAAATCCACTAGAGCCTTCTATATCTACATTTAAGCTAACCTAGACTTCGATAATTTACACTTAGTCTGAAAACAAATACTTGCAAGCTGAAGCTACTATCGTTATCTACTTCTGCTCTTATAGAGTTCATTCATACCCAGCTCCGATACTTATCCAATTAGAAACCTTTCTAATGTTTCACCAAACTTTCAATTCAGATAGCTCGGTTTGGTCCACAAGTTGCATTACCTACTTTTCTACTGGCTTAACCCAAATATTGGTCTGTGCCTTTTCCTCTGATCAATTCTGGTGTCCTGGTTGGTATAGTGCTTGTTAAACACCCGGTTCTCATTCAGATCTACAGCTTATTGCTTCTTTTTTTAGACTTTCTAGAACTATCAAAAGTATGCACTACTTCTCTACTCGGAACTTGCCAAGCGGGTTCCTATTTGAAACTAGTCTACCAGATTTACACAGATCACAGGAACTTATTATGGGTTTATACCGCCTTTTATTAGTTTATATCTCTTTGTGTAACTCTTTATTACACAAATACCCATAATCTTCCAAGTCTATACTACTGTCCCTGATAAAGCTTGCAAGATAAACCATTTGTTAGGCGATCATTACCCCTTACACCTATTTGCTTTGACTATTGTTACAGGATCTACATCCCAACACCTGAATAGTTATCATTACACAGAAGAATTCGATTTTTTGTTATCAGTGGGAATTAAACTCTGGATGTGCCACTTAGAAGCAACAACTTGACTACTTCATTAAGTCATTACACCCATCCTTAGAATTTATACTATCCTTATATTCTCAATACCCTAATTTTAAAAACAACTTTGCTATCATTATATCTTGCATTTAGACCAATTCACATCATTTAATAACTTCTGTCTTTTTAGTTGGCAACACATTTTATCTAGTATCTTTAAAAGAAAATAACCATTATAGTTTACTACTCTTAAAGATAATGTTATTAGTTACTATCACAGATTAAAATAAAATCTAATCAAAATGAAACTAGAAACCTCTCATGCCCACCCTTAAAGCCTATAAAACCTACATATACTTATTTATTAATAAACCTAACCCTAAACCCTACCCCTAATGCTAAAAAGAACCCCAAAAAATGTCTTCCAAAAAATTTCAATTTTCTTTAAAAAACAGAAAAATTTCGGTTTGATCAGATTTCATTTTAATCTGTAACAATTAATACTTACAAAATCATTGTTATAAAAAAACTTCTATGTTTAAAAAAATATTTGATTTCTTAAAAATTTAAATAACAAAAATACAATAAAAGTAGTGAAGATATTACGTAATATCCTAAGGGGAGGAAGGTCTCTGATATCTTTATAAATTTATAATAGCCAATCAAATTTCTCTTACGTGGGAGGGCATAGTAAAAAATCTTACGTAATAACTGTTATTACCCTAATATTACTAATTAGTTTCTCTATTTTAAATATTTTTACATTTTTTATTTATTTGTAAAATTTAAATTATAAACATTGAAGTTAACTGGGCTATTTTTATAAGAGATTACTCAAGTTTTGGCTTAAAAAAGTTGACTAGATTACTTTCATAAAAAATCAAGTTTTGAATTAAAATACTTAAATATGCTAATTTTATTTAAGTTTATAATTTAAAATATCTTAATTTTTTTTATTTGTATCAATTTAATTTGTAAGTATAAATGAAAGTTCATATATTTTTGCTTAACTTAAATAATTTATAAAGACTTACTTTCGTAATAATAAAAAAAATCATATCCTAAGATACGCCGGGTCTAGGTCTGCGTTGAGGATCCTTTTAAGTAAATCTCCAACTCATCAAGTGTAAACGGTAGTCCAGATGGCAATTTGTGCTCATATAATCGCATTATATGACGCGCAATATTCTCCATATGTGTACATATGTTAAAGAAAATTGCGAATAATTTAAATAACCAAACAATTAATGAATTATAAATAATTAAAGGATATCTTCAAGTTCTGAATCAAATAATTCCCACCATGCAGGTGATGTGGGTAATTTAACTTGAGCCACTCGTGCAGCTAACCAAATCACTGCGCATGCAATGGTTGGTGGTTGGTAACATACATAAACGTTTGTTCGTAACCTATATTTAAAAGATATTCAGAAATACATTTAACAGGTTTTGTAAAAATGACAAGATTATGAATTTTGTTAAAATGTTTATACATGCGCGTCATTTAGATATCCCCAGGCTTTTTGCGGAATAGTTTCGTGTTCTGTAAGTTCCAATACTTTCAAATAATTTACCATTAATCCATATGGTAATTGTACATGAACATTAAACCCTAATTTTTTAAGTATTTGCATCTCTGCAACAGTTAATGCTTCTTTCATTTCATATACCTCCTAAAATATGTTATTTGGGCTAGCATTTATAAGAACGGTTCAAATAAAGACATGAATATCATAGAAAGACGACTAAACAAAAATGAATATCCCATTCACCGGGCCAAAGTATTCTAGGGGTTCCGGGGGTAAATTACGATAACGTCGTATCAAATAATGATAGACATTTATCAAATCGCGTATTTTACAAGGTGATTCTTGCACCTTAGAAGCAAGGAATAGAGATCCCATGCCTATATCCTAAATTGTAATCATTAACATTTAATTGTGTGGTAAGTAATATAACAGACACGAAATAAATTAATACAAACTCTGATAGAAAATTTCCTCAACGACGCCACATAAAAAAAGCGTTGGAAAAGTACTTGCGCAGTTGCCATTGCTACCTGCGGCCTATTAACTATTTAGTGAGTCGCTGTAATATAAGTATAAACAAAATATAATCTAAAATAACATTACAGTCGTAAAAGAATTCCTGCTGATTGAATCATTTCACAGCCAAGTCTTCGCAGATTATCTTCGAGATCTTCGGGAATTTCATCTTGTTTCGAAGGAGTAGTTTCTAATTGTTCATAGGTTAAAATAGCATTTTGTAGGGATAACTTTGACATTTTGAATAAAGCCATGAATTAACGAAGTTACATATCCATATGGGCGGATTTGACTCCATTCATATTGTCACGAAATTCAATTTTATCACATAGATCATTAACCAACCAATCAATGACGATCAAAAACGTGATCACCGACCAATCAAATCATTAACAATATACGAAAATAATTATTAAATCATATTCTGTGATCAGATTGTAATATTCGTTATATCAGTTTTTATTATTATATGCACTCGAAAACTGTTTCTTAAATACAAAAATTGTTTGATTTGAGAATTGCAAGTCATGCATGATATGTGTTCCGAGTTGGTAAAATTTTTCCAATCGATTAGTTGTCAACTATAGTTGCAACTAATCGATTTTTCCTATTATGTGACTAAATTTGTTGGTTGGCCAATCAAAATAAAGAAATTAACACGAACCAGCCTAAATAGACGGAATGTTTCGGAATTTAACTAGTTGATAATTTAATCAATTAGTTGTTTCAAAATTTTCCAAATCGATTGGTTGGAAAGTTGTCAACTAGTTGGTTTTTCAACTAACGATTTGGATCACTAGTAGTATGCTATAAAAGTTATATTTAGAGATTAGAACCGGTCAAAAAAATAATGTCTGGTCAGAATTTATGTTTAAATTTTTGATTAGTCAAAAGGTCAGTAATATTCAACACTCATAAAACTGACTTCTAGTATTGACACAGCCATGGCTCTTATAAAATGAATAAAAAAAAAACTACCTCTTATTAATTGGCTTCTTAACCGTTTATAATTTTTATGATCTACTAATTGGATTTTGATTCATTAATTAGCCAACGGTTAAGCAGTTCTAATCTCTAGTTATGCCCATACATTCAATGTATTTGAAATCCCAAATCTCGCTATATAATTGATTCTGACCATAGTAATAATTATCTAAACTTTTATTATAGTGCAGTTATTCAGTTATATTTTAGAATTGCTTTTATTTCAAATATATAGATAACTATTACTAGTTTAAAACTAGCCTAAAAAAAAACAAGATAATATCACTATATACAGTAAGACCTCCCTAAGTGCACCCCCTTGGGACCATAGTCAAAAAAAGCAAAATGTGCACTTAAAGAGAGAGAGCATTTATAGAGAGCAAAATATATAATGCTCTTATATGTTGGGGTCAAGTTATGCCATGCATTTAGAGTGAATTTACATAGTGTGTGCACTTATAGAGCATTCACTTAGAGAGGTCTTACTGTATATACTTTAGAATATAGACAAGAATTTGCTGAATGCAAAGAAACTTTGCTTACTAATAATTATGAATAAAATGAATTAATAAACTATAGAATAAGTGATAACAGTTAAAAAATAATATGATATACAAATTTCAAAGTTACTGTATACGTACTGTATATGTGTACTTAAATAATATATATATAATAAAATAATTGTATTATTTGAATTAGATAAATAAAGCAAAAATACTAAATTTTAAAAAATTAAAATCTTTACATACCTAGAGATAAAGTTACTCTTTGTACTTTAATTCGAGTTCTTTAACTTTCAAATTATATTGAAACTCTTTTTCTATCCATCTATTTCTAATTTAAATTTAAACTCTTGCTCTTTCACAAATCTTTCTTTTTCCCAATTCAACTTTTCACATTCTATTTCTCTTTCTTCTTTTCTTTCCTCTAACTCATTTACAAATTTCTGATTCTCAATCTTTAAACGTGCTTGTGCAATGTCTAAACTAATTTTTTTATTTTTTCTTAATGATTTTAATTTATTTAAATACATTTGATCAAGTTTAAAAATTTTTCACTTTTTATAACTTGAAACTGTAAGATCATTATTATCTTCATTTTCATCATCCTATTAAAATAAATTTATAATTAGTAAATATAACTATAGCAAATATGATGTACAGTTGTCCTCTTCTATAATTATGCATATTACGCAAACTATGTAATTATATAAAGGTTATACTATAATATGCTTATAAAGAGGTATTTTTTTATAAGTTTATTAGTAAAGTGTTTGCTGACTTTAGTATGATTATAAAAAGGGTTTTTATGTAATTATATAGAAAAAGAACAACTGTAAGTATTTATAGCAAATGATGGTATTTATTTATTTACTATATCAATACTAGATGCCAAATAATCTGGCTTAATATTTTCTCTATTCCCAAAGATTTCATTCATATTATTTAAGTACAGCCATTTTGATCTAGCTTTACCAGTTTCCTCTTTATATTCATTCTCATATCTTGTTTTAAGTAACTAAATTTTTAGTTAACTTGAGTGCTAGTTCTATTATTACCAATTTTATTTGCAGCCATACTATAAAATTTTGATTTATTTTTATAGTACAAATCAAAATTGTTTGCTAAATAAGAGATTAGAATTCTTGTCTCAGAATCTGACTAAAATTTACTGCTTGAAATTAATTCATCATATTCTAATTCATCATCAATAGTTTCAAGTTTATTTGAAGTTTTAGCTTGTCGAGTTCAAGAAATCATATTATTATTTTGGGAAAAAGGAGGTATATAATTAATAAACTGAGTTGGAGCGATAGTAGAAGTGAATTGATCCATTACAAAAAGAAAACTTTGGATTTTGAAATTTAAAATCGTTACTTTTATTACTACTATATCTCACATTTTTAAACAACTGAATAAGTAAAATCATTTTTATTTCAAATATATTAACATCCAAATTGAGAATTCTATACAACTTTAATAATAATCAACTCTAACAAAATAATTAACTACAATTGGAAGTCTATATATTGCATGAAGAGAACTTTCAAGCATATCTATTTAACATTATTATATCGATTATACAATTTATTAGTACAAATAAATTCTTTTATATAGTATATCTGAGAAGACTACTATGAATTTATCTATATTAATACTATATTTTTCATATATAATTTAATATGCTAACCTTACTAAATTATCAATATAATTTGTTTAGAAGAATAGATGTTTTGCTATATATAGGTTACTAATGATCATCACTAATTGTGGATTTTCTAATAGTAATGTTGGTTTTATCTCAGAATTTTGGTACTTAAAATCCTAATGTCCAAAATCCTGAAAATAAAATCTTGATAGTATCAATAATTGCTTTCAGATTTTGAACGCTAAGATTCTAGGTATTGAGATTCAAATGTAAACTGGTAATTTATTATATAATGTAATTGATATTGTAAATCAGACCTATATTAATATGATTATCGCTATAAATTTTACCAAAATTACATTTATTAAAATAAATAATTACTCAAACAAAATGCTATTTTTTTTTAAATTGAAGCTTTAAACTAGCTTTATACTGAAATAGAGCTATTTTTTTAATCTTTTTTTTTAAAAAAGTAAAAAAATATTAATAATCGAAACCAAGAATACTAATCATTAGCATTCTAAATATTTTTATAAAAATATTAAAAAAAATAGCTCTATTTCAGTGTAGAGCTAGTCTTGAAGTTCAATTTAAAAAAAAATAGTGTGCTATTTAGTTAATTATTTATTTCAATAAATCTAATTTTTGTTTTAATAAGATGAGTAAGTATTTTTGGGCTTTACTTATTTGTGCCAGTAATACAAACTTCTAAAAAGGAAATAACCAATCAGTAAGTTCGAATTTGATCATTCTGGATCAGCCCGACATAAATTTTGAACATGTGCGAAAGAAGAAAAAAGTGAAAATACTCAAAAACTAGTATTTAAATCGACCTAAATTCATTAATTAAAAATATCGGGAATGAAATTTTACATATAATGAGCAATAGTCTATGGCTATAGCTTCTAGCGGTAACTTCCTAACTCTAAATTTGTGTTTTTATGCACTTTGTTTATTTACAAATTAAATTTCCTTTTTTGGGTTATATTACTGGCACAAATAAGTAAAGCCAGTATTTTTGAACCCGGACCAATTTTATATATGACGTAATAACATTTTGGTCTGGATTCAAAAATAATTACCCAGAT